AAATATCTTAACTTTAATATGCAATATAATAATTCAATACTCTGCAATCATATAAGAAAGACTTCTTGTCATAAAGTAAGATAAAACATTTTACTCCTTGTGCCAAAAATTCCATCAGAAATGAAGAACTTAGACATTATCAACAGTATAACAAAGAGGTATAAAAATCTAAACATGCTGATCATTTAGCAAGGACTGTTAGTTTCAATTCGTAAAAAAATCGAACTGACTTATTTTGAGTTTTCTAATAAGTAAAAATCAATTTGATCTTTTTCTCATATTCATAGTTCTCATAACATAGATCGTAGTTGTTTTATTAATTTTCTTGGACACTTTACGAATAATTGTCTGTCAATGTCTTATGCAGATTTTTCTTTATTCATAGCATATTATTGATAGCCAAATGAAGAAGGTTTGTAAGTTAAATTAAAGATTGAAGTTTTAAAACTACCTTTCTTTTATTAATTAGTATTTGAACAACTATGTTTGAAAACATATATATATATATATATATATATATATATATAAGTGGGTGTGTGTGTGTGTGTGTATACCTATATATATGAATTTTTCTACGGCATTAAAAGCAATTACCGACACGGTGGTCTCGAGTTGAGTATCGAAAGTACGTGATTTGCTGACGAAAGAAAAAGTACGAAGAAAAAATTACAAAAATTTAAGATAATCATCGGGTCATTACATTTGTTCGATGAAGAAAAAATATGAAAAAAAAACGTGGTCGTCGGCTCTTTCTGCTCTCTGCTGTTGTTGCCGTTATTAAGGGAATAATATTTAGCGCTAATAACTTGATACTGAGACAACTTTTTTTAATTGAAAACTTCCAGAGAATATTGTCACATAAATTCATGGAAGCAATTAGTAAACAATTAATTTACTACAATCAGTAGAGTCCTTTTACACTTCCCATAGTGTAAGTTATAGTAATCGTGCAAAAATCGAAAATGAAAAGTTTTGCATTTCTTTACGTTTAGAGGTTTCTGAACATCTTGGCATACCTTAAAAAATGTAGATGTGTGTATGCATGTGTGGTTACAAATTTTTGTCCACGATTCGAAAAACATTCGATTTCTACTAATGGGAAGACATTCTGATTAGTTTTTGGCAAAGACAGATCAAGCCGTTACGAAGATACGGGGCAAAATGTCCTAACATACCAATAAAATTTTTGAGAGAATAAAGCATTAGAATTGAATCTCCATGCAACTAGCCTTAAGAAAAAACACCACCTAGTTATCATTATTATTATTATATTTCCAATATAAATCATTTAACAAATAATATTTCTCGATCGCTCTTCTTCGAGATTCGAAATTAATCACGAATACCTTTTTGTTGCAACAGACACAGAACCTGTCGACAGGTAACATTCGTCATTTTTTCAATGATTAATTGTTTATAAATAAATAAATCAGAAATACACAGGAGAAAAACACACAACGGAAACTATCGATATATATATATATATATATATATATATATATATATTTAAATAAATATTTCTCCTGATTTATTACAAAAGACGAAGCGAAATCAATCACAGGCGTGATTCCTTCCAGTTATTAATTGGTTCATCAAAAATTTGAATTTAAAATATTTCTTGGACGAAAACTTATAAATCAGTAGTAGCAGTCTGGTGGGAATATGATAAGAACAACATTAATAAAAAAAATAAATAAATAACAAAAATATATTAGATAAAATAAAATTTTGATAAATTTCATATTGGCTTCATGTACACATACATAAAATTTTCTAATATTTAGTTTTCCTAAAAACATATTAAATATTTTATTACAGACATATCCTAATGTAATATTAGGACATTGTTATATAATAATACTTTATTTAATATTCACTAATGATGATGTGAAATTTCAAATCAAAACGTATGAGATATAAAGATTCTCAAAAACTTCTTTTCTTTTTATTTCATTCATTGCTTTCCAAGATTTTAATTTTGCACTTGACTGTTATGTATTATTTTGCAATTATATAAACAATGTATAATTTAATTGGTTTTTAATACAAAAATAATATTTAAAAAAGTATTTTCATTTACCTACAGTATATCCCCGTTAAGACGTTTCTCAGGAATAATGTGTAATTATGCAAGAAATCGTATTAAGCATAATCGTCTTAACGATGTTCTATAGTACATGTACATATTGTCATGAAGAATAAAAAACACTGGCGGTATCTATTGAATTACTCACGTTTCGTTTTTTTGGTTTGCAACTAGGTATAAAAATATTGTATAATAAACTCAAATGAAACGTCGATGTTGTCTTAGTCATATATTTTTAACAACTATATTTTGCATAATAATAAAGTTTAAAATTAAAAGCTCAAAATGGCGGGTCAAAAGCTCCCTCCCTATAAGATTTTGGTTATATGTAAAAGCACACCGTTAGATGGCGACATAATTAATTATATTTTATCCACATATATTTGGTTTAATTTGCAACTAAAGTATACAAATTAATACAATTTATTAATTATTAGATTAATTATTAGATAAAAAGAAATTAATGGACAAATTGCCCTGTTTTCCCATATATATTAATAAAAAAATCCAATTTGTATAATTAGTCTCTTAATTAATATTTTTTGCACTAGGCAGACATAAACACAATAATTATAATATATAACTAAAATATTAATAAAAAAAACTATGGAAAAAATATAAACAGAGGTTTTTTCAAAGTGAAATTATATTTAGCCATTTGAACTACATTTTCTTTTTATAAATAATACCAAAATAAAATTACTAAAAAAATTAAAAAAATAGTTCTATAAATTACTCAATAACATTTATTCAATATAAATATTACATAATAAAAATAATAAGAATAAATAATCTATTTGTTAACAAATTATATATTGGCACAAAATTCACACAAAAATAAAACATTAACTTATAAATAATAATATTATTTGAGATATTCATTGACATAGATTAACTCATATAGAACCATATTAGTTTCAAAAACTAAAATTTATAAGCTTATAATATAATATTTATTTATATATAATAATTTATAAATCAACAGCGTTACTCATAAAGGCAAGATTTTGGAAGAATATTATCACAATCAATTTTTACACATAGAAATACTTAATTTACAACCTAATTATTACTTAAATTAAAAAAAAATTAAATTTAAATTATTACATTAAAAAAATATTTTAATAATGTGGATGAGCTTTTGATATAATAGTTAGCTTTATCCATATAAAGCCATATGCGTACAATCATAATAAAAATTCTAGAAATCATAAAATAATCTTTGAAATAAATATTTAAATAAATATTTTTTTCAATTGTTCAAAACACTTCAAATTGTTATATTATAAATATGTGATTATATTTTTATATAATTAAATTATAAAAAAGGCAGTGATTTTCTCTATTAAAAATGAAATTAAAATGTACTAATATTACTAAATATTTATTGCAAAATATATAGTGTATGCTTTTTCGAGCTGCTCGAAAAGGGCGAAAAGTTACTAAATAAATTAAAATTATTCCTAAATTATTAATTTTGTACATAATTGTTCTTAACCGATTATTGGTACTAAATATTATATGCATTGGATAACTTTTTTTTGCTAATTTAATGAAAAACTACATTTTACATTTATTTTTTTTGTGGCAGTGCTTTTTATTGAACATGTATTCGGGGGTATTTTATTTAGGAGCAACTTTTCTTAAAAAAATAATTGATGATAATTTACCATAGAGAAGTACATAAGTATACCTACTTAGAAATAACATTAAATTATCGACCATTTTCATGTGTAATTTGAAATATATTGCTTTTCAAAGTAAATTGGATGAAAAGTCTGGAAATGTCTAAAATTTCCGGGGAGAACGGGTATCATTTCCTAAGGAACTCAGTGTTGTATTCTTATATTTTTTTCTAATAGTCAATCAGAATATAATTTGATACTATTAAACTATCACAAGGTTTTTCTTGGCTTTAGGAAAGATTCTCCAATGAGATGTTTTCCACCTTTACAGATGTTTTTCCAGCCCTTGTACTTCAAATCACATGGCTATTTAAGGGGCACAACTAGTGTGAAATTTTCAAAGAATCGAATTTTTAATTTTTTCATATTTCCATAGGTTATACATTTAAAAATAACATACCAAAATTTTAAATAAATAGTTTTTGAGTCATACCCATTTAAAGAGTATATATATAGTATATAGTAAAACGATCATTTAACCTTTGAACGCGTTTTTCTCGAAACGGCATTTTCCGAATTTGCTGCAGCGATTACTCAAAAACAAATGATCCGATCACTTTCAATTTTTTTTACATGTTCTAAATATAGTAGTCCGTAAAATAAACTATCGATTTTTGAATCGGATCAAACATCGAATTTTGGTAGTCCAAAAACGACCTAAATTTTGGGTAAAATTCGACTTTTTTTAAAAAACGCCTTTTGTCAATTTTTGATTTTTTTTCTTTATCGTAGTTCATTTTACAGACAATATTATCTAGTTTAACGAGAATTTTTTTCTTTTTAATTTCATCCACGTAGAAGGCCGGAATCACTGCAGCAGTGAAGGGCCTTTTTTTGTCGCGCCGTTGGAGATCGACGATAACTTGAAAAATATTTAATTTTTTTCTTCAAAAATTTTACTATGTGCTCTTAAAACTTGTATGAATATATTCTTAAAATTTTGAATTGATTGATAAAGTAGTTTTTCTAATATAAATTCCCAAAAATCAATTTTTTTTAGGCGGTTACACTAGTTGCGCCCCTTAATGGAACTCAGTATAGACATCAAAATGATCGATACTCTTCAATATTATAATTAATTTTAATGGTTGGGTTCAAAATATGAAAGTAATGAGCAAGTACTTTTGGAATCGAGTTGGAGGAGTAGTTTCGATTTTTAAAAAGGCAGAATCGATATAGTCAGTTCGATCACTTAATATGGTAATAAAATAGTTTCACCCAAGATTTTTTTACGTTTCTCCATTAACATAAGATCCATTAACCGCGCTGGTGCCTCCATTCTCCATATTTTCCTCCACAACCTCGTTGGAGGCGACTGCTCCGGTTGCGCCTCCGCCGTCGTTTTGGGCGACGACATAGGCCAGAAAACCGTCCACGTCGTCCAATTCCTTCGAAGAGAATTTGGCCACTATGGTGCTCCTGCCAGAATATGGTGGAGTCAGGTTGAAGGTCTCGATGTGGGTTTGGCCTGGTTCGATATTCTGAGAAAAATAATTATAATTATATGATGTATATTTTAATTTTTCAATGACCAAGTCAGTTGGTACATTTTTTTGGAGAACGCCAATTTCAAGGTCGACCAATTTTGAACATTTTTAATACATGGTATAACGAAAAGTCTGAAATCTTGAAAATATGGATCAATTGTGTTATTTTTTTGATTATGATACTAAAAATGTCATGTATGGCTGCTGTTTCGAAGTTCAAATAGATAATTAATTATAATAAAATTAACCACGATGACCAAAAAAATGGTTACAGCTAGCTCATAACTTTCAAACTGCATAGTATGATTTTTTTATCTTGACGTTGAAACATATAATATTATAAACACACCCTGTGTTTATATATAAATGTTGACTCACCTGTTTTAACTTAATTTTCAACTGCTGCTCCAGTCCTGTACCTTCGACGATAAAAACTCCTTTTTTCAAAGGAATCGGCATTGGATTCGTCAGTCTTAGGGAAACCTATTTAAATAACAATAATAATTAATAATTTTAAATAATAATAATAATAACAATTAATTATAATCTCTGCCCTTTGTTTTATCTAACAGATTGTTGGATTTACCATTAATAATACTCAGAAATGCATTAACAATAATAAAAATGCTATAATAATAATGACAATTCTAATAATAACATAATAATAATGACAAAATAAGAATAATATTAAATTAATAAGCAGTGATTTTTATTGAACTTGTATTCAGGGGTATTTTATTTAGGAGCAACTTTTTTAAAAAAAAAGAATATTCGATGATAATTTACCATGGAGTGATCCATAAGTACCTACTAAAAAATAACATTAAATTATTAGTTCAATAATAACAATTTTTTAGTAATAATAACAATCAGTCATTGTAAATAAATTGATTAATTTAGTAAAGTTTTGGTAAATCCAAATAGGACTTGGAGGGCACCTTAAAAAATTCAATTATGTAAGACTACATAGTTTATTTTTTAATATTATAAAATTATGTAATAAATATTTGTTATTTTTTATTTTTAATATAAATATTAATTTTTACCTCTAGTGGAATTCCAGTCGTGGGCAATCCACCCAGTCTAATTTTGATATCAGGTTTTCTTACACGGAAATCATCCTGGGCATAATATTCATAATCTGTGTCCTGTATCCTGGCCATGCATGATATATTAAAAGCACTCTAAAAATAATAATATTACATTTATTTATAACTTGAAGAAATAAAAAAAACTTAAACTCTGACGAAAGTTTGTCTTACAAAATTAATTCACTTAATCTTGTTGTTTTCAAGATATGTATGTAATGTATGTAAAAAATTTGGTAAGATAAGAAGATAGATGTAACTTTTTTGCAACACTCATTTAAACAGGTTAAATCTTGTTTTTTTTTTTTAAATATTTTACTTACCTGATCTATCAAACGTCCAAAATATTCATCAAATGATACATCCATTCTTACTTCATCTGTTGTACTTGGTAAAATCTGAAAATAGATAAGCGAATTGAATAACATATACTATATATATATATATATATATATATATATATATATATATATAATAACATATTTTATGAAAAGCACTCTACTGATAAGCGACCATAAAAAAAATTATTCTAGCTAAATTCTATTCTAGAAATAACATCATAAAAGATAGTACTGATGAAGACAATTCTACTGACGAGAAAACTGAAGTTTAGATTTGACTTCAAAATATAAATAGAATATAGTATTTAGTTTGATCACAGATATGGACTCTAAAGAAGTAAAATGAAACTGAAATGAATTTATTTCATTGTCAAAATCCTTTTGGAGTGTCTTTTTTTAACTATGGTGAAGGAAAAAAATCGAGGAGATCATATTAAGCTTACAATTGGACAATATGTCAAGTTAACCATTTTTATATTTATTAGAATAACATTTGAAAATCGTTTATGATAGACCCGCCTTTTTTAAATTTTACTCACATCTCTAGTAAATTGTAACAATTTAACTTCGCCTTTAACTTTTCCAGTATACAAAACAGTATCGACTCTCAAAAATCCAGTAACTCTATGTGCAGTAATTCCGCTGCGATTTTCGATTTTTAAAACAACAGCAAAATTCTCACCGATTTTGATGTCATCGAGGAGCTCAAAATCAAACCTGGAAATAGAAACAATAATAAAAAAATAATTATGAAGAAATTTATATAAATTTCTATTTTATTTCTAGGTTGTAAATTTATATTTCTGTTACCTGACGTCATTGAAATCTTCGTTCAAATAATATCTTGAGAAAATGCTTTCGGCGTTTCTCAAAGCCCTCAACATTATGGCACGTTCTTCTTCGGATTTTTCTGGATATTTATAAGTGTGTGTAACATCCTTAAAAAAATAAAAAAATGATTAACTAGTGGTGTATGGCATCGTGCCTCAAGGCAAATTGCTGGAACTTTCCGTACCGTAGTCAAATATTCGAGAAATTTTAAACGCTTTCAAATATATTATTACAAATAGTGTAACTTTCATTATTTTTGTTGCTATCTTGTTATATCTGAAGAAATCAAATGTAAATCATAAATCAATTTATGAAAAAGACACTTATTTTATGTAAGTATATTAAAAATTGTTAAAAATATACGTACTTCTCGTTCCCATTTTCCGACAGCTTTTGTTGAAATCAATTGTCCGATTCCGTACATGTCTTTTCGTAAAAGTTTTAATGGTTGTGTTGGTCCTGCGTATCTCCAAAATACCTAAAAATATTAATTTAAATATTATATATGAAATAACTAGAACTGTGCACAATGCAGAACAAACACAATATTTTTTGGACGTTGCGTTTTTAAAGTATCTCTACCTTAAAGGTTCTATAATATTAGAAAACTGCATGGACCACTTAATTTTGCACAAATTTATCATTTCTATCCATTTATATCAGAGAAAGTATTTAAAAGTTACAGGGAACAAAATCAATTTTTTTACCTTGTCTGCGTTGACTTCGGCGTACAAAAACGCAGTATCGTGGGCCCTTTTAATTTCGCCCTGTTTAACGGCAATGACACTTGCAGGGCCGCATCGGAAACTGTCCTCGGATAATTCTTGAGGCGTCGCGTCGACCGCCTGCCAACCTCCATAGGCGTAGGCCGGGTACAGGTCCGGACGATCCATCCAGGCCTGGGTAATGGAATTAAATTTAAAGACATCTAATTACAAAGTCATACTATCATTATATACTATCATTTTAAAGAAAAAAATCTTATCATTATCAGAAAAGTATAAAATTGTGACGAAATCTGATTATGTATAGAATTCGACATGTCATGTTTGTTTATATAATATATTATCAAATCTGATTCGAATTTGCACTATAAAAAATAGGATCCTCATTCTATTAGTATATTTTTTCTGATTGATTTTTTACCTCGTTCCATACGTGGTAATTCCAAATAGAATCCGAATTGAGTTCTTCCATAACTTCTCCTTTTTCGTCCACAAAATAGTCGACAGTCAAACTTGCCTGTGTGTCGTGGGCTGAGGAGTAGTTTGTGATGACCCTTGAAGGGATGCCTAAAGTCCTTAGAGCTGGTAAAAGGTAAAAAAGACATGTTTATGCTTTCTTGGAAAGGTCACTTATGGTTTAAGGTTTTTATGGTATTGCATGATGGTGATGCTGGTTAAGGATTTGATGGAGTAAAGATCTTATGGCAAAGTGATATTACTAGGAATCCTATGAAATTGGGAACATGTGATAAAGTTTAGCAGAAAAAAGGGCACGTGATCTCATGAAATCATTAATTGGTTCAGTGATATTTAATTCTAGCAAGATTTGGGACAAATGCTATTTTTGATAAGACTCTGTAAGATTTTATAAAAACTCTGAATCCTGTACGTTTTCATATATATATATATATATTAGGGTGGTCCTTAACAAGGACATTTTCGAATTTCTTTGCTCCCAGGGGCGAAATTGCTTCCAAATAAAAAAAAAATGATTCTCTGAAAGTTTTAGCTCTTTTTATAAACATTTAGATAGAGCGCACAATAAAAATTACTTGCATCTGTTTGTTACTAATATGTGCTCAAGAAATGTCAATCTATAAATTCGTGCGCCATCTGTGATCATTTATCGTGAACTCAAATCGTATGATACATAAGAATATTTATAAACCACATAACATGCACATAACCTCTTATTAAATACATGTGAGCTGTTCTATAAATCTATTCATCATGGCATCAAGAATAATTTTGCAGCAAAATATTTATAATAAATATTTTGCTGCAAAATTATTCTTGATGCCATGATGAATAGATTTATAGAACAGCTCACATGTATTTAATAAGAGGTTATGTGCATGTTATGTGGTTTATAAATATTCTTATGTATCATACGATTTGAGTTCACGATAAATGATCACAGATGGCGCACGAATTTATAGATTGACATTTCTTGAGCACATATTAGTAACAAACAGATGCAAGTAATTTTTATTGTGCGCTCTATCTAAATGTTTATAAAAAGAGCTAAAACTTTCAGAGAATCATTTTTTTTTTATTTGGAAGCAATTTCGCCCCTGGGAGCAAAGAAATTCGAAAATGTCCTTGTTAAGGACCACCCTAATATATATATATATATATATATATATATATATATATCAAGAATTTAGTCTAATTACTTCACTCACCTGAACAAAGTACTCCAGCAAAAACCCAACATTGTCCATACTTCACAGGTTTCTTTTTCCTGCCAAAAAATATATAATAAACATCTTCAATATTTTTATAACTATTGCACTTACTTACTTATAATATTCCTGCATAATTTTCATACTTCCAATCCACTTTGTTGGTGGTGTACCACCACCATGATCATCTGACCAATTTCCTTGTACCACTCCATTATCATCAGCACTATTGACAGCTCCACAAAGGGCTCTAGAAACTAGAACAGGGTCACCTCTGGAAGCCCCTTTCAACTAGAAAGAAATAGCTTTTATTAAAATCAGTATAATGCTTTTACTTTTTGCTTTACATCTTTTTCCCTCTACTTTCAAATATTGTTGTTAAACAATGCTTAACTTTACTGGTTTTTGACACATCGGTGGTGGACCTTTTTAATCCCGGACCTTCATATATTACTATCTATTCTGCGATAAATTCTGGGAAATTATAACTGGAAAAATGTTATTCGACAAAATGTCCATTTGATCGATACCAAATTTAGGTTCTGAATTCAAATAAGATAAATAAAAAATAATATAACCTAGAAAATGTTTTATAAATACCAATGAGTATATAATTATACAAATGAGATCTTTCAAAGCACCGTGTTTGAGAAAAATATGGCAAAAAGTGCATTTTCATATTAACATTTCAAAAAAGTTGATATTTTGCGTCTCTAGTAACACTTGCGGCCCGTTTACTAACGTTTTTGTATATGAATAAAACTACAAACAAAACTACATCCTACAATTTAATCACAATTAAATCATATTCACGTAAAACATCCTATTAAACGTAATTGAACATCATCTGTCAAAATCCTTTGACATTTGACGTATTAGCCACCGTCCATTGCTTTATTAAAATACGCTTCTACAAAATTTTTCAAATTAAAAATTTAAAGATTCTACACGATTTTGAAATAATATCTCACCTTTCCGACAACCTACTGATTGGTACGAATTTTTCAAGACTAAGGCTGGCCAAATCGGTTTAGCCGAGTTTTAGCGGATCATTTAATCGAGAGCTCAATATTTATATATAAGATATGTTTTTTTTACCTTTGATACGTGAGTGATGAGATACAAGGCACAATCCAGGATGTCTTTTTCGAATTGGGCATATTTCCAAACAGTAGGTCTTAATCTGTTGTAGGATCCTCTCCAAATTAGTCCTGTATCTGCCATTACTGTTTCTTCTCTTAAAGCATCATCTGCAAAAAAATTAGATGATCAATAAAAACAACTAGGAAAGGAGTTCCATTGGCTTCAATCTTTCTTTAAGGATGTTTTAAATTCCAGTCGATTTCTAAGAAATTGTTTTATTTCATAGTAGTAACAAATAGTGTAAAAAATCATAGTGTACAAAATGAAACAATCAGTATATTTTGTGACTTTGCCTCGGATGGAACAAATATTGGAAAGAATACCGAAACTGTAGTCTTTATTTTAGAAAAATATTATTAATTTGAATGTGGTTTTAATCTTTTATCATCTTTTAGTATACCATTTTTTATACATTTTTGATAATTGCTATTACTTTTTTAATTTTTGATATTTTAATTGCCTTACTCTTTCTGATAATTACTATCTAGAAGACTGAATGTATTTCAAGTTTGTTTTCAAAATTATTAGTATTTACTGATGATGACATAAAATTGGTGGTGGAAACTTCTGGAAAAATAAAGATGTCCTAATTTTTTTTTACTTTTTTTTATAGTAATCTCTTCCAAAGTTTTATTCTAAAAATTAATTTTTTTTTTAAAACTCTATATTTTAACAAGTTAAATTTCTAGTCAGTAGATATGTCTTTTCTCTCATTGTATTTTTTAAAAAATAACTTTTCTTAAGCACTAATTATATTTTTCTTCATCCAGCATATAGTCATTTGTTCTCCAATAGTTTGTTCTCCAATAATTCTTGATTCGTGTTTCTTATTCTTTCACTTTGCTCGTTAGTAGAGTTCTTCTTACTACAATATTTATGTTAGATATGTTAGAGATTTTTTTTTTATTTACCTGCCATGTAGACTTGGTCTCTAGAACACCAAGGGTTGTACAAAACGTAAAAGGATTGTGGCAGACTGTAGCTCATGTTTTTTTGTTCTTTCGGTCTACTCCTCAGTAGAGTTTTTTATGTTAGAAATACTGTTAGATATGTTAGTGATTTTTTTTATTTACCTGCCATGTAAACTTGGTCTCTGGAACACCAAGGGTTGTACAAAACATAAAAGGGTTGTGGCAGACTATAACTGACTGCTCCTCCTCTTAATAATTTTGTGTCTATGTCCAATTTCCATTGGGCTACTATGCAGTCGTGGGCTGGGGTCACTTCCACCTAAAAAAAATTATAAATAGAGCATAAACTTTAAAGAACTAGGTGTAAGTTGCAATTTGTCTTTAGGCAGGTACCAGAAAATTCTGAACATCTGAATATAATCGAGATGATCTTTGGTTTTGGATTGGATTATTTCTAGCAATTTCTAACATTTAAGAGATTTTTTTTGACTGAACTTGAATAAAATTTATATATTTTAAAGATAAAATATTAGTATAAACAAATTGGGTTTAAGTGGCATTTTTCCTTAAGGTAACTTGAAGTAACTTTCCGGTCTTAAAATAATAAAGCTGTTCCTCTATTATTGAAATGTATTTATGCATTCCTTGCTTAACATTTTTGCCTGGATTGGTTTAGTCAATAATAATACTAACTGAAACCTTTTTTTTCTCTTGTCTGTCTTAATAAATCTAGAATATTATTCTTTTGTTTGTAATTGGAGTCATATGTCCTCCCATGTTTTGCATTGTGCACTAAAACGTGGTCATACATAGAAAGCTTATATTTGACATTTTATTATTGATTCACGCGACTTCCAATAAATAAGATTTTGTATACTAATTTTTTTATATAAAAAATATGAATTATTATTGTTCCTTACCTGTAAATATAATCATTTACATTTTTTATAAAATCAACTGTAACGATCGCGATGCTGTTTATGTAGGTGAAACAAATATTTAAATATGAATTTTTTTCTAATGCTTATGTTATAAATAAAATCATTTGAAATTTATAAATGCATTTAAAATATAAGTACCTTGCAATTTAATATATTTAATATTACTATTATTATTATTACTAAAACGATATTTACGTGACTCTCGTAGAAATATGAAGGTCTTCTAGACCTTTTTCTGTCCCAAAATCGAAAAAATCTGGGAACACGATCCCACCTGAAGAAATCACTCATTTTTGGGAAGAATTAAAAAAAATGTCTCTCGGTAATAAATATTAAGTAACATTCTTTATAAAATCAACTGTAACGATTGCGATGCTGTTTATGTAGGTGAAAATTAATTTAAGTATGAAGTTCCTTCTTCTTTGTTTATGTTATATATAAAATCATTTGTATTCAATTATTATTTTGAGTTCCTTGCCTCCAATGTTGTCCCTTCGTAGTTCCTAGCAGCAACTGACCATTGTCCATCTGCACCAATTGTAGGTCTTGAGGTCAAAGGGACTGCAACCAGGGTACCTTGGCCGTAATTTGGTACTTCGGCATCTTAAAGTAAACCAGAAATGAAATTAAACTAAATTCATGCCTGAAATGCAACTTGGAACCATTCGATTGATATTCGACTTATTTTTTTTACTTTTTTTTGTAATAATGTCTTCCAAAATTGTCTTAAGTCTTGAACCTTTATTATTAACGATGATAATGCAAAAATGGTCTTCCACTACTAAGTAGACCATGTATTACTTTAAATATGCACAATTTTTTTTTAAAATAAAATCCGAACTCTACTTTTAGATCTATTTAAAACATGTCTAGGTATCACCTTATTCTAATTGGTGTCAAAGATTAATTTATTTGACAAGAGTCAACTTTAAAATACCTGCAACTGTGAAGATGAAACTGACGGCATCTCTTTGAGGATCATATGGTCGACTTAGGCTTAGAATTAATTTGAAACCTTGACCTCTGCGCACCACTAATTTGGAACTTTTCCCTAAAAAATAGACAGAAGAAATAGAAAAATATACAGAAATTTATAAAATAGTACAATTTGGGCAATGTCGTCTAGTTTAACTTTTCTTTAGCATTTTTATTATTAATTTATTACCTCTGTGTTCTTCTAAATCAAAATCGAATTCGTTAGTGCGGGATCTGGTCATAACTTCGTAAAGGTCAGTACGATGCAAAGGACCATTGTGAGAAATACAAAGGTCAACTCCTGTAATTCTTGCTACTTGTAGTGTACTATCAGTAGTATCAGCTGAAAATGCAATAAAATAAACACATTTATTACTTGCAAATCATAAAACTATGTTTTAGTGTCTCTTTATTGTAAAGCGTCGATTACATAAGACTACACGTTTACAACAAAATGAATAAAAATGCAATTTACATACGGTAATTAATCGCAAACAATTTAATATTATTAGCTTTTTATTTATAATTTGCTTGGCGTCTCCATTATTGTTTAAACAAATAGATTTTAATGTTGAATTTTAATGTTTGTCTCTGAAAAGATAGTCCTTGGATTTTATTTATTCATTTATAGGTTAGACAAATTATTTCAACGTAATAGGGTGTGCATTTGTTTAAACTGCATCATCGTTATGCATTTAAATGCATGTCAATAGGATCCATAAGATGAGATGATTCTTTGTTTTGTTTTTGACGTAATGAGATGATGATTTATTGTGGAGATATTTAAATATATATCTAAGGACCAAAGATGCCGCACGAAGGAGAGAAAATATTATTCTAATGACGAGCAAACATGAGAAATAGAATTTGACCTATAAAATAAAAAGCAAGCGACTCTAAATTTAGCAAATTATATGTCAATCATGGAAAATGAATAAAGGAATCTACTGACGAGCAAAATGAATCTGAACATCAGAAATATAGTCCAGTCATTTAAGCTTAAATTAGATAAGAATCTCGTAATTCGAGATACCCAGCTGTAAGTCTGTAAATACTTGTATATTGACACCAAAAAGTTGTCTTAAAACCTACATATGGTAGGGTGTACGCAACATATGCAGGTTTTGAGACAACCTTTAGGTGTCAATATACAAGTATTTACAAACTTACAGACTTACAGTTTGAGGTGAACTTACTATAATGACTGGACTAATAATAAGACTACTCGTGTGCAACCAGAAAACTTTACTGATAAGATGATCCATTATCAATCCAGAAAAACTTTATTACAAATCAAACTATCTGCATCAACATAGAAAGGAAAAGAAGATTTTACTGATGACTCAATTATATAAATCTAAAATATAAAAAGCAATTTTTTTCCATTCAATTGTTCTATGACTAATAACTTTTTCAAACAGAATTTCAAGTCAGTTTCTAGGAAATTGTATTATCTGATGTTCTTACGTCATTTCAACCAGTTCATTGAAATGTATATTATAAAGAGCAATATTATTGGACTGTAAGCAAAAGAACGTTTTCTCCACCTGCCCTGAGAAATATAGTTTTGAGATAAACACAGAACAAATGTACTTCATCCTGTTTTAGTGTTTTTCGCACTCACCAGGGGGTCTGTGTACCCCAAATTCATTACTCTTATTAAAGAACTGATTATCTTATTATAATACTTTTTTATTATATATATTTGTGATTTGGAGCAAATGCTGGAACTTCCCGTTTCATATTGAAATATTCGAAGAATAAAATTTAGTTAAGAAAATATTTTTTGGAAATTAAGAAAAAAAATCCTCAAAAGCAATCGTTTCGTCAGCACAAGAAAGTTTTTTGAATCCATTCAAGTTGGATGCAAGTTCTCTTAAAAATCTGCCGTTTTTTGCACATTTAGCTCCGAATCTTTGAAACAGCTAGACCCGCCTTTGCAAAAATCCAGCTACCACTTTGCCCCAACATTACGAATTGAACGTTTTTTGGATCATTCGAATCTGATACTCCGTTCTTTCAAAAACACGATTTGTATTTTCTGCACTCTTTGCTCCGTAACTCCGAAACAACTGGACTTGCTTTTGCCAAAAACTAATCAGCACATCTTCCTATTAATAGGAATCGAATGTTCTTTAAACCATTCAAATCGGTTGATCCAGGCGCCCGAAATGTGGACGAAAAATTGTATCCACACACCAATCTATTTTTTCTAAGGTATGCCAAAATGTTCAGAAACCTTCAAAACGTGAAGATATACAAAAAATTTCAAATTCAATTTTTGGACGATTACAATAAATTACCCCTAAAGGTAAATTTACGTGCTAGACTTGGTGGCGCCTCTATGGAGTGCGAAAAGAATTAAAATGTAGATGTTGGCAAAGTAGTCGTGCTTATTTCTTTTATCTATGATGGTATTTAAAGGCTTCAAAAAAATAAATTCTTGATTTTCATATGGAATTGATCTCGATTAAAAAAAAACTTGACCTTTGTCAAAGTGTGAACGAGGAAGTTATACGAGCGTTGCATACTTTCGATTTTAATGGAACAGACACCTATTATTATACATTTATATATATATATATATATATATATATATACGCAAACAAGTATATGTTTGACCTCAGTCAAACCAATAATAATGACGCAATCGCCCATTTAAGAAAACTTGAATGCTTCCAGCTATCAAAGAAATCATTGTACAAATATAGTTTTACTATTAAAACTATTCATGGAATATATTTGTATACACATACATAAACCAGACAGTCTGAGGAACAATGTATAGAAAATATCAACTTTGCTAAATCTATATACCATCACAAAATTAAAGTTAAATTGTAGATTGTGTACAAGTGCTTAAAAATTGATCAAATTTTTCCTGTACGTAGGACATAGTATGCAACATATACTATATATATATATATATATATATATATATATGTTTAATTTGAGTTTAATATTCTGGCGTAACATCAATAAAAATAGTATGAGTTTTTTTTTAAATTTATTTATTTAAAATCCATACGTTTCGGCTAGCATCTTAGCCATCATTCAGTGGTAATCAAGTTAACTATAAAAATTGAAACTAAATAAATTATATGAAAGGAAATTTCATGGAAAAACAATAATAATAATAATAGTAATAAAACACTTACAATTTTGTATCCTAATATAGCATATGAAACCATTATTAATCCATGGTATGAGTATGTGCACATTGATAAGATATGTATTTTTTAACACAAACATCACAAATGGTAAAACACACTAATAATCATGATAACTTGACAAGTTGTCGAAACTATGTATTTACTCTTCGGAGTTTAGGATAGAAATGTCACAACTTTCTCAAAGTAGTTTTTAGCATGTGTTGATATTTTTTGGAAAATTTAAAAGGCGATGGGATTTTGTTATTTTTTAAGGAATTTTGACACGCTATTAAGAAACCACGTGTTCGCTTCGTTCAGGGCCGTATTGTCAAAGCGTTTATTTATGACTCTGTCGTTATGTAATTGTAAAAACAACCCCTCAGCGAATCTTCTTTTAATTGTATTCTCTTCAAAATGTAAAATTTTAGGGTTAAAAAAATCGATATTGTGATTTAAATTTTTAATATGCTCAGTTAACATTGTTTTAAATTGTTTGGGATTTTTTCAATTATTTTTGTGTTGATAACACAACACAAAAATAATTGAAAAAATCCTAAGCAATTTAAAACAATGTTAACTGAGCATATTAAAAATTTAAATCATAATATTGACTTTTTTAACCCTAAAATTTTACATTTTGAAAAGAATACAATTAAAAGAAGATTCGCTGAGGGGTTGTTTTTACAATTACATAACGACAGAGTCATAAATAAACGCTTTGACAATACGGCCCTTAACGAAACGAACACGTGGTTTCTTAATAGCGTGTCAAAATTCCTTAAAAAATAACAAAATCCCATCGCCTTTTAAATTTTCCAAAGAATATCAACACATGCTAAAAACTTCTTTGAGAAAAATGTGACATTTCTATCCTAAACTCCGAAGAGTAAATACATAGTTTCGACAACTTGTTAAGTTATCATGATTATTAGTGTGTTTTACCATTTGTGATGTTTGTGTTAAAAAATATATATCTTATCAATGTGCACATACTCATACCATGGATTAATAACGGTTTCATATGCTATATTAGGATACAAAATTGTAAGTGTTTTATTACTATTATTATTATTATTGTTTTTCCATGAAATTTCCTTTCATATAATTTATTTAGTTTCAATTTTTATAGTTAACTTGATTACCACTGAATGATGGCTAAGATGCTAGCCGAAACGTATGGATTTTAAATAAATAAATTTAAAAAAAAAACTCATACTATTTTTATTGATGTTACGCCAGAATATTAAACTCAAATTAAACATATATATCAACATCAAATTCAAGACTATTCAAATATATATATATATATATATATATATATATATATATATGTGTGTAGTAGATTAGTGCTTAATGTTTTTTTTAAATTTCTTTGCTCCCATGGCATCAAATTCTTCCAAATTGATAAAAACAAAATTTCTGAATGTTTTAGCTCTAAAGTTTTATTTAAAGATAGTCCGCACTCCGAACAAAGTTTCTTGGCTGAAAACATCCATATTAAGGATCACCCTAAAATGTAGTAAAAACTTTAAAAGTCTCAACTATTTATAGTACAATATGGTTTACATGCTATTTATAGTACTCACAATTACAAATAAAATTCTGATTGTAAAAATTTGGGACGTGAATTAAATTTTCTGGTACTAATTATAGTACAAGGGTCACTCTATAGTGCATAAGTTGTATATATAAAAGAAATTTAATTTTTTTTTTCTATAACCATATAGTATAAAATGCTTTAGTATAATATATACTATGTATAGTACATACGATTAGAATAAAATTTAGGTTGTTTGCAAAAGTTTACAAGTTGAATCTACTTTTTCTGTACTATTTACAGTACAACTGGCTTAGCATGGTATGTGCACAATATATAAAATATCCATAGTGTAATAAAATTATTTATTATTAATGATGAAGTTCTGAGTATCTCTAAAACTCTACAAATTGAATCAACAGTTTCTATACTATATATAATACAAGTGGCATAGAATTGCATTAGTGTACAAAAAAATGAATTGAGTGCATACAACTTGGACTAACTTTTTTGGTATTATTTTAGTACAATGTATACTAAATTAAATAAATTAAAATAAAAATAAAAAAGGAAATCATTTACTTGTGGTGGCTCTCACGCCATGGACCTGCCTTCGGGCAGACTACCATTTATTATTATATAATAAATTATTTTTTCCTATAAGTAGATTTAAATTGCCCAGGGCAAGATGTTACTTTCTTTTTAACGTATTTATTATCTTTGTCATCAGTTCAAACCTAAATCTTCTATATTTATTTATTATCAATGTATTATGATTTATTTTTAAATCAAGTCAAACATATGTTTTAAATCAGACACTTCAATTTTTTTTTTGAAATTGGAATTTTTAGTTGAGTTATTTGTGAATTCCATCAAACAAATCTGTTTTATTGAATTTGGAAATGTTCCAAGTTATGAGAACGAGAGCACGTGTTCTCGATCTTATGAAGATATTAATATTGGATAATAAAATATTATTGCTTTTAAAATGATCCAACCAAAATACTATATAAAGTTACTTTGGTAATACGACAGAATTATAAAATTATTTAAATATTAATCATTTACCATATCATCAGTATCAATAATAATTTTTATTAGCTTTTTATTAGAAATTTAAGACGGAATGCCCCTTGAACCTAGTTTTTTTACTTTTGACAAATAAGCTATTAATTCTAAAGCTGGTACTTTTTAGAATCATGTCCTCTGACAAAATGGGTTTTGTTATAACGGTCACACAATGGGTTTTGCTCTATTTTCAGATTTAGTTTGTTTACATGAAATCTCTCGTACGTTGCGAATTTGTTTACAATTCGCGCGTTTGACAGTAAACTTTTGGCTTTTTCAACTAAAACAAACCAAACTAATTATAATCTGAATAATTACTTAATGACTAAGACACTCTCTTAATAGATTTAAGATTTCTTATCCCTAAATATTAAATTTAGTAAAACAAAAGTGGGTAGGAAATAATCTAGACAGATGATTGAAAATTGTTTGAAAGTCGAAGATATATTGATGATTCATAAAAATTAATATAAGTTTTAATTTTAATTTTAAGTATTAATAAACTAACCTTACAAAATTCTCCAAAAAATTTGTTTTTTTATTCAAAATGACCAAAAATAGCCTGTAAATATAATCATTAACATTTTCTATAAAATTGACTGTAACGATTGCAACACTATTTGCATAGGTAAAAAATTAATTTAAATATGAAGTTTCTTCTAATTTGTTAAAATATAATATAAAAATCAATATAAGTTTTAATTTTAATTTTAATTATTATTAACCTAACATTACAAAATTCTCCACAAAATTTGTTTTTGATTCAAAATGTTCATTAATTTGTAAATATAGTCTAACATTTTTTATAAATTAACTGTAACGATTGCGATGGTATTTATGTAGGTGAAAAATTAATTTAAATATGAAGTTCCTTCTAGTTTGTTAAAATATAATATAAAAATTAATATAAGTTTCAGTTTTAATTTTAATTATTATTTCCATAATTTTACAAAATTCTCCAAAAAATTGTTTTTGATTCAAAATGACCATTAGTTTGTAAATATAATCTAACATTTTTTATAAAACCAACTGTAACGATTGCCTAGCTATTTATGTAGGTGATATATTAATTTAAATATGAAGTTTCTTCTAATTTGTTAAAATTCTAATTTATATGTTTTAATTTTAATTTTAATTATTATTAACCTAATTTCGCAAAATTCTCTAAAAAATTTGTTTTTGATTCAAAATGTCCAGGATTAGTCTGTAAAAATACTCTAATTTTTTTGTAAAATCAACTGTAACGATTGTAGGTGAAAAATTAATTTAAATATGAAGTTTCTTCGAATTTGTTTATGTTCTAAATAAAATTTTATGGACTTTATAAAAGCATTTAAAATATAAGTACCTTGCAATTTAATATATTTAAAATTACTATTATTATTATTATTAATACTAAATTGATATTTACGTGACCAGACGACTCTTGTTGAACTATGATGATATCTAGGCCTCCTTCTGTCCCAAAATCGAAAAAATCTGGGAACACGATCCCATCTGAAGAAATCACTCATTTTTGGAAGAAATTAAAAAAAAATAAGTCACTCGATAATAATAATTTATAGAAAAACACACATGTAAAAATAAAGTCACTCAGTTATAATCATTATTTGGTCACAAATCGAAAATCACAAAAACTGTGAATTGATATACTAATATAGTCACGAAACACACTTTGAGAACTTGTTTTATATGATAAAGGATAATATGAAAATTTAAATAGTTTATTGTTAAATTGTTTAATAAATAGAGCCACTCTTGAGAACTATTTTATACGAAAAAGTGTTTGCTAAATAAAAGAACTGCAATTTTATATAATATTATTAAATTGCTGCTTTTTTTAATTATTGAGCACTTTTGTAATAAATAAACGCGTTTTGAGAACCTTTTCAATACTAGAAAAATTATTTATTAATATAAATAATTATATATTAAATTGATTTATATAAACTCACTTCAAGATCTTTTATTATTAACTTAAACAAATAAAAGCTCCTAACTAATAATATAACAATTTATTTGCATTTTTTATTTTTTAAGTATATATTTATTTATATAACAAATGTGAACTTTAATTTATTTATTTAAAAAAAAATCTGTTGCATATTAATTTTTTTTTATATATTTAACACCCACTATTAAAAACAGTCACAACGATATGTATATATATATATATATATATATATATATTATATGTATGTATGTATATAATTATATAAAATTGTTTATAATTTTTTAATTATTATTATTTCTATTATTAGTGTTGTTGTTCAACTATCGAGTTGACATAATACACTAAATGTGCGACTAGCCAGTTTAATTTATTCAAAAGATAAATCTCGACGTCGTTGGTTCCCCACTATTTTCATATTATATTTCTTAGGATAGAAAATGATATGATTCATCTCCGTTTTTGCTGCTGATTTTGGTTCCGAGAAGGAACCAAAAAAATTGGAAATCCTCAGAATTTAATAGTCACTTATATAAAAAAATATATATTAGATACGTTTCGGCACTAAATTTGTGTCATCATCCAGCAGTACAAATAAAAAAGTACGAAAACATGAAACAATATAAAATGATTTAAATTAGTAAAGAGACAAGCATGAGAAAAAAAGCTCAAATTAAGAATAAAGTTACACAATTTTTTTATAAAACAATCAATATGTTTTTTATAACAAAATCAATATAATTTATATTTAGTATATTTAAATATGTATTATTACATAAAATATAATGTATTTCTAAATATTTAGCAAATCTATTACCATATCAGTCATATGTGTCTGACGCCAAAAAATTACATCAGCCTAGATATCTATTTGTGACAAATAATAGTGTTTTTTGGAGAAAATATTTGAAATCTGAAAATTTTCCTGTTATTATTGTGGCGATTAACGTGTTTAATCATTTTTGATAGTACGTTTCGACAATGATTTGTGTCATTGTCAATGATTTATTAAGATAACTTTTTTAAGAGAAAAAATTTATTAAGATGCATTTTTTAAAAGAGAATGAATTTTGTTAAAGTTAAAAAAAATGTTGTCATTTGCTTTTATCCTTAAATTTTATTTAATGTTTTAAAAATATTGATTAAATTTGATAAAATACTTAAACACATTTATATTTTCTTATTTTCAACTTTTTTTTGGATACACATAAAATTATGTATTTTTTATATACTAAATTTATTTAATTCTCTATTTTTTTCGTTTTTTTTTCTAATAGGCTGAATTGTTCAAAAATGCTTAATTTTACTTTATTTTACCTTTTTTGTAAAGTAATGTACTTGCTTAATTCTTTAAAAATCTTTTTTACAATTGCTTAAATCTCAATATTAATAATAAAAAATATTTATATATATTTTTTACACAAATTATTGGTATTTTTAGCTTTTTGTTGAATTTGTTTTTCTTTACTTTAGTTGTTTGAAAAACTATTTTTTAGTCTAAAATACTACATAAATAAAATGATTGATTAATTTGAATTAGTGAATAAATTTTAGTTAAATTCATTGTATTTCGAAGTAGAATTTTTGTAAATAGTTCTATTTTTGGAATTCACTGTTTTTCACATGTATTCATTTTTTTTTTCAAATTTAATAAATATAATTTGAGTTTCTTTAAAAAAAAATTATAACGAACTGAAATATTCAAAAATTGTTTTGATTAGATGATATAACATTAACAGACTTATTTTTATAATTTACTGGTTTTGCATCTTAACCTCAGTGTACAATATTTTTGAAATTTGATAAATATAATTTGCATTTGCTTTAAAAAAAATGACTAAAATATACAAAAATCTTCTTGTGGTTTAATACTCTTCTATACCAGTTTTCTGTCATGTGGCCCTCACTTTGGAAAACACTGCTCCATTTGAAATAATTAGAATAATTTATTGATTTTGATCACACTGATAAGGAAAATCTTATTATCCAAACATTTGTAAGTGGAACATTATTTAGTTAAAAAAAATGGTGCATGAGAATGTGCATAGTTACAAATATAATGTGTATGCAAATGTGTATATATATATATATATATATATATATATATATGTATATAATATGATTCATATTCTATTATTATGAAACTATATTTTTATTATTATGAATGAATCAATTCATAAGTCAATTGTTATAGTATGAATTTTCGCATTTGAAATACCACGAAAACCGCCGCGATGAATCCCACTCGTAATTTTAAATAAATCATTACAATACGAACTATAAATAAACTTGCAATTTAAAGTACATAGTAAATTCGAATGATAAATTTTCGGGAGTACATACATCATCGTAATCATATCTCTAATAGTTCCTGGTAAATTTACAGAATGGCAATTTATGATAAATAAATTATAAATCATTTATCGTATGAATTTCGGCGGATGGTTAGATAATTCGTCATTGGAAAAAACCTAGATAGAAGATATAAGGATAAATGAATTTGATATATTAAATTAAAAAAAAAGATATATGATTTTGCTAAATACATGTAATATCTTACTGTACCCTTCCTTCCCCGACGTGATATTTTGTGATTTTTTGCAAATCTCTTCCTCTCCCTAAAATCCTCACGTGATTAATGGACGTTCCCTTATAATGATAACACTATTTTCTGTCAGTTTAAATAAAAAAAATGTCATTGAATTTTACCTAGCACTAGACAATTTTCTTAAATATTGCTTGACAAGAAATAGTCTAACATTTTTCATAAAATCAACTGTAATGACTGCAGTACTGTTTATGTTGGTGAAACAGGACAAAATTTTTTATTACGTCTTCTTAAGCAGTATTATAACAAATCCAAACCTAAAAATCAAAATCAAACTATGACCACATAATTATAGTTATTTTGTATAAAGTATATATCTATTTTTTCTAATTTTAATCGATTTTTTATCGTTTTTGTTCGACTTTGTTCATATAAGGTGCAAGCGACCTATATTTGTAAATGCAAAACGTTCCCACGTGGGCGGAAGACATTATAACTATTACTATGGAGAATAGTTTATTGTTGCACAGGTAGAAGATTATTAACTTCTGCCTACATCCATCTCTACGACGATGATTATTTTTCACATACACAATAATACAAAAGTATACCTATATTACTATACTATATCATAATTATTGTAAAAGTTTTCGCCCATATAGTTACTAAAAACAAAGATCGAAGTTGGGTTTGAAAATTTATTTATAAATTTTGCATACGTTTTGTGTCCAAATTTGGAACATTAAACAATCGATGCATATAAGAGTTATCATAATCAAGTAAAATATATGATTTTTGAACATGTAAAAAATAAAAGTAGTCATAACAATCTTGAGTTATGCACGAAACGTTGATTCAAACGTATATATGACTTATTAAATTTTGACAAACATATTTTTTAATTTTTTGAACTTGAAGCTTCCTTTTTTACTCACAGAAATATTTATTTAATTTATTATATATAATTCTTTCTATGTTTTAGAGATATATGATGTCCTCTTATTTATCTTCAAAATGTAGAAAATATTTATAAAAGGAATTATTTTTTTTGCGATAAAGGAAGCTTTTAAGATGAGAGGCCATGAAAAGCCAGCTGATATTTTATTTTAAATTTTATTTTATTTTTTAATAAAAATACAAAACCATTGAAATAATCATAAAATGCATAGAATTTTGCTAGCAAATTTAAAATCTATATATTTCTTTCTAGATATGATAGAACTACACAGTACTAGATTGGAAAATCAAAATCATTAATGAGGTAAGAGTTGTATCTGAAAAAATATACATATATCCACTTAATTATAAAAAAAAAATTATATATTTAAAAAGTTATTCAAAATATTATTAAAAAGTTCTCAATTCGTCTCGAGGGTTCATGAAACACATGAATTTATAATTTATAAAATATATGTATATATTTAAGAAATTGAACTAATATAATAACAAAAATAAGGTGAAACAACAGAAAAACCTGAGTTATAAATGAAATATACTTCATGTAAGTGAAAATTGAGAGTCCCACGCAAAACCGGTACGCGGATTTTGTCACCAACCTGGATCTAGCCCTTGTTTTAGGTTAAAGGTATTTTAGGGGCTGGAAATACACTATTTTTAATGCCACACATATATAGAGTCCGTCAGATAACTTTTTTTTTTGAAAATGCTATATATAAACTACTGAATATTTTCTCAATTAAAATCTTTTCTATTTGAAATTGCAATCCTTCTGGTTAATAATCGAAAATAATTTCATTGAAATGGCTGTCTAACTTTTAAATGGCAGTCAAAAAATTCTAAATGGCTACCAATAAAAAAAACACCGGTTTACATGGGACAGTTTTTTACATAGCTCGACATGGTTCTTGTTTACATTCAATTTTAGTTTAATTTTTCAGATATTTTATTTTATAAATACAATAGTTAAAGACGTTTTCTTATACATTGTTTTTGGTTTTTGGGCATTTTTGTAAATATTTTGTTTTGGGCTTTTTTATAAGTATTTCACTAAAGATAATTTAAATCAAGACTTGAAAAATGGACAGACTCATTAAAAAAATATATTTAAGACTAACT